CGATATTGTAAATTCAAAAACAACATCTTTTAGTCTGCACGAAAAAACAACACCTGTTTTTTTGGCTGTTACTAAGCTGATCGGTATTATTGAGATGCTCCTTCGTGGCATACGAGTGCTGAATAGCGGTTGGTCCCCACCAGGATAACGTGCCTGTCACAAACACCACCGACGTGTAAGCAAACGTCGCGCTGACGTATGTCGGTCTGAAATTGCCATTGTGCCACTGAGCAACACTTCTGATTATTTTATTATTCCGGTTAACACTGGGATTTTTGGTAAACTCGGGTGTGTCGTCGCCATTATCGCATCGCCTATAGTTTCTTAAAAGTTTTGTCCATGTTACGTTGTAATGTGTTTCAAAATATAACTCGTTCTGCATTGGATTATGTGTTATCTGACCAATATTTGCGCAATTGAACAACAGTGCGGATGGGTGGAGAGAACGCCATATTTGAGATCAATAATCATCACCCAGCAGTGTTCGATCAACACATTTTTCTCAAAACTTTTTGTCACTTATGAAAGGCTGTTTGCGGGGTGTACGGACATTTTCAATCCTAGCACCCAATCAATTTTTTTGCTCGGTTTTAACTTTTCACAGGCGATGGAAGCATTTTCTTTTGAATTGCGAAAAGCACGATTAGCTTGAAAAAAGAAGCAGCGCCCTAATGAAAAGTCAAGGCATCATTCTCATTCCGGCACAATCACCCAGCTCGTTATCTCATTCGTTCAGGAAGAACAGGTTGCGGAGTAAGAATGACTTATTTGAGCGTGTCGAAAAAGGAATTTCTTGATCATTTGTAAAATTCTTGCACGTCGGAGTCTTTAAAGTTCATTAGTTCTCATGAAGCAGAACCAATTCCTGCTGCTGGAAGATTGGTAATTTTAGATGAACGAGACGTAAATCAGTTTTTTATGCGTTTTTTGCAGCTATACAATGCAAAAACGCATATTGACGAGGGGTTGTCTGTGTGCCCGTGTGTTTGTGTGTGCGTCTGTCACGCAGTTTCATCTCAAGACTTATTAAAGCTGCGGCGCTGAAATTTCGGGAACTTAACCTACATGCACGTGCCGGCCCCAATCCCCAAAATGGGCGCCAACGCATACGGGCCCGCAAAAGTTTTTTTGGGGTAAGTTCATAACTCGGGGACCTGACAAGCTAGACGCTGAAATTTTAGGGGGATATTCCCCGTCCAGCTAGATGTTAATGCACTCAAACCCATCCCTCGGATAAGCGTGGTACCAGCGTACGGGCCCGCCAAAATTTTTTTCGGGTAAGTTCATAACTCGGCGATCTGAGAAGCTAGAACGCTGAAATCTTAGGGCAATTTTCCTTGTCCAAGTAGGTATTAACGAGTTCAAACCCTGCCCGCGGATAAGCGTGGCACCTATGTACGGGTCCTTGAAAGTTTCTTCTGGGTAAATTGCTAACTCGGGAAAGTGAGAATCTAGAAGACTGGGATTTTGAAGGGATGTTTCCTGACAGTCCT